CTTTAGGCAATATAATGTTATTAATGCTAAATGCAGTTCTAATCTGTTCAAATTTCATTGCTTATAGTCCGTACTTAAATGATATAAATGAAATTTCACCAGTGGTTAACTTCAGTGTGTATAAAATGTGATTCGGCAACCAAACATTAAATTATCTCCAAATATGATTTCTAATATCTAGAAAAACAAAATGTGAAATAAACCCTTAAAACAAATGCCCAAACTTATCCCTTTAAAATGTAGGCTGATTTAAGTCTCATAATCAGCATAAAAGCATTCAACATTTTCCTCCCTTCCAGTCCTTCACACAAATTATTTGCAAAGATCTATTAATTAAGAAATAATTGTATATTTTTTGCACTAATTTCTCAGCGACGCCCACTGAGATCTAGTTCACATTTCATTTCCCTTCTCTTCAGTCATGCATGGAGCTGGGCTCTCGCTCTCAGCCCATCTCTGCTTTAATGTATGTGGATGTGAAATTAGATACCATCTTTCTAATTATGCTCATAAGCATAATCTCATTGCTCTTATCAATGCTTCTGTACACGAGTTCAAAAGACAAATCAACATCAGCAGGGAGAAGTGTCACAAAGTCAAAGCCCATAACACTTATCTCATTTTCACTTTTCTCATTCGCACTCATCTGATTATCAGCCTGGGGGGACTGGAGCTTAAGAAAAGGAGAGTGTGTGTGTGTGTCTGTGTGGTTAAATAGTGAGCTTTATAGGATTTTACCACAGCTCACCTATAGGAATATACATTTGGGCTATTAACCCTTAAACTGCAGGCTTATTTTTCAGTTATTAAGGTAAACAACAATGCATTTTCCTTCCATATGGAGACATATTTCCAAGAGAAACACAGTATTAGCAAGGACTTCTGAGTTAGCTGACTGTATTCACTCAGTGATAGGTGGGGTTGGTGAGAAGAGCAGAAACATGGTATTATTGGTTAATATTATTTTTGCCCATCTGCTAGTACACGGTGACATAAGCATAGTCTCTTTTGGTATGTAAAATGATGTGGCATGATGAATCATAGTATTTCCGAACCCAAACTTCCCACAGTGGAAGGATATTTTGATTTCAGCTCAACTTCTTTAATCTTAAGCCTTAAGACTTCAACCTTGCTACACAAGATTGAAATAACTATACCATAAATATGTCATAGCAGTTGTCATATACTGTCATGAGTTGCCATGACAGACTTTGTTTAGCAATATAACAGTGTAATGTTATCATTTTTGTCACATATTATTTTTTGCTAAATGTAAACTCTAGCTCTAGCAAACATTGTGACATTTGTTATGGCAACAGTAAAGGTAACATAATACTGTTATCTTACTGAAAATAATTTGCCATGACAACTCATAACAGCATATGACATCTGCTATGAAGTTTATAGCATAAGTATGTAAGTCTTATGCAGTAGGGTTCATGTAATATGTTACTGACTTATTTTTCAATCACTATTACAAAGTAACATGTTACAGTAATGTAATTATTTTGTAACTAAGTAGTGCAATGCATTACAGTTTAAAATCTTGTGATTTGATTGGGTGCCCACTGCTCGCCAGCCTTCTTGACCAGTCTGACCACCAGGGAGCTTCCTGCTAAGCAACACTGTACAAACTTGACCTGCACACCACTGACCCTCCTGATGATAATGCTGCATTTTTTAATAATAGACATTGCTACTCCTGCCTTTATCCTTTTTCCGTATGTTATACTAATGATCAAATCTCATTCTCTGTTGTTATTGTTTGCTATATGGTGTCGACCAGAGGAGGATGGGTTCCCCTTTTGAGTCTTGGTTCCTTTCAAGGTTTCTTCCTCTTGCTCTTAGGGAGTTTTTCCTTGCCACTGTCAAGCAATTGGCTTGATCCTGGGGGCTTGGACCCGGATTTTTCTGTAAAGCTGCTTCGTAACATCACCTGTTGTAAAAAGCGCTATATAAGTAAACTTTGACTTGACTTGTAATCACATTATGCTTACTGATAACAATCAGTTATTCATATGCCTCTCACAGAGCACTATTAATTACGCATGGTGCATTACAAGCATAAATTTCCTCTGTGTAGATGATCTGTGGCTGTCTTTGTGCGTAATTTGCGTGCTAATCCTGCTAGTATGAAACTGATGGATAAAGATCCCTGTGCTAAAGTAAAGAGAGCCTCAACCTCACCTAGATTTTCATTCAGAAACAGCGCTGTAAGCGTTACGTTTTATTCTTAAAGATTTTACTTTGGAGCTGCTTCTGAACAATTTCTCCTGGCTAATTTCTAGTTTTTCAAACAGCATTAGCCGCTCATATTGTTAAACAAAATATAACTGTCTGTGTCTTTATGAAAGTCAGGGAAAGTGACAAGTTTGAGAGAAGTAATCTGTCATTTGAAATGGTTTCCAAAATTGTTAGTAACTACTAAGAAGTGAGTTTAAGTTTTGTATTTTTATGATAGTGTGGTTATGGGATTAATTTTGAAGAGTTTTTTCAAATATTACGTTTTGAAAATCTTATCAAATTAATATATTTTTTCACACGCTACATAGAATATTGAAAGGTTTGCTATATAGTTACTGCACTGCATGCTACAGCACTGTTGAGGCAGATACATTCACAGTCATGTTCAGTTACAAATGGTGAGGATCTGCCAGCAGGTCCACACTTTTATTACACATTTCTATAACTTAAAGATAAGTCAGTCAGTTGCATTGTACTCCATGTAGTTACTAGATAATAATATTTTATAAGTATTATAAAGTTATAAGCCTAGGATTTCAAGGGGTTAATATTACTATCATGCCAGTAATGCATAAGAAATGCTTCATAATTATCAACTATGTGAGAACTTGGTTATTTCATGTAAGCTAATAAAACATAATGACCCAGTTTAATCGAACAAGTAAACACTGGTGCCTTAGATGCTCCCCTTGCCATAATCTACTGCTTTGACTGTAGTTGTGCCAACTATTGTGAAGAAACCAATACTTTTGAAGAGTAAAAAAAAAAGAAAACAGTAAGAAACAGTTAAGGTATGTATGAGCATACAGTTTAGTTCTGCAAGTGATGGATGTAGCATCACGTGATATAATGATATAGTGATCGGTTGAGTAGAAAACGATTTAGAAGATATATGGACGATCCTCCTTTGTTTGCTGCCTGGAGAAAGACTAATGAATTGGTATCGTAAATTTGTCACACACACATTACCTGATCGCCACCCCTCCCTCACTGACACTGATGGGTCTTGATGATGGAGGGAGGTGCACACACAGAGGCTGATGGGATTCTGTATGCAGTGGGCCTCAGCACCTAGCACACTTCAGAGAACTTTCTGCCTCGCTCGAGTGGAACTCCAGGCCTGTCTGCAAACCACACAGAAGCATTCCTCCGGCACCATTTTTTCAATAGGAATTTGAGATGACAAGCACTGCTATGAAGCGCTATGGGGGTCAGCCATTTAACGCAGCACATTAGACATGCAGCGCCATTTTGCAGAGACAGTGCTGCTCATTCCAGGTGACAGATACAGTACATCTCACTTCCTTCTGCTGCCCTCATTGTGTCTGCGTTCACGCTGCTCTCTGGCATCACTGTGCTCATTTCCAACCGCTCTCTTTGGTGTGGCTGCATCCCTACAACCGTCCTCATATTGTTAGCAGTGGTAGTCTGCCGGGGGAAACGTCCGCCTTCTGTTAATAACATCACCATATAGGAGAAATATGCATGTGAGCAATAGGGCTGCTCTTCAGCAACGGAGAAAAAAGAATGCTTTGCACAATTTCTACAAAAGCCACATCCTCATACAGAAAATACTGTCGCTCTTTGAACATTAGAGGCTTCACATGACGTGTCCCCTGGGGAGTAAAGATTCGAGCATTACTGGCAGAGCTGAGAAATTGTCAATGCTATGGAACATTAGGATTACTAATCCTACATTCTTGTGTTTCAAAGCCACTGTAACTTCATGCATGAGACCATGGTACCATATTCAGCCAAACAAAACGAGACAAGTAATTATCTTTCTGTGAATTAATTAAAAACCTGGTAGCCTATTACAGTGTTTCCTGCTCAAAGCACCGGCGGAAGAACTCAGCACTTTGGAATGACTGAAAGCCTTCGGTTACAGTGCCCTCATTTGTGTTACAGTGTGTTTCAACATCCGCATTCATGCTCAAGCGGATTAGCCTGATAATTCGCCCCTTTTTTTGGGATACAATTCCCTTATGTTGCCCATGTTTGTGGTAGGCCAAACATGATCACAGACATCAATGACACCATGCTTTAATCTTTCTGCTGATTAATTCCACTGGAAAACATTTCTCACCTGAAAAAATCAGCTAGTTAAAAAACTTTTTGCTCCCTTTTTGCAGTTTCAAAATAGCTGATGCAAAATAATGAGTCTGGGCTTAATTAGGGGAGCTACTTTCGCAGATGATAAACAAGTAAATGATTAAATCCGCTGACGGTCTGCTACGGCGGATGGAGGGCAGCTCCAGCTCGGGAGGAATATCTGACTCCGTGGGTCTCTGTTGCCATGGAGACAGCACTGGTGACTCTGTCTATTTATCTTGCGTTCAGCACGTTTCGTAGATTTGTGCCAGCGATAGCTGCAGATACCTGTCTGCGATACCGCGGCAAAAAAAGCAGCGAGCAGGAGGCAGGAAATACCGCATCGATCACAGTGTTACACCCGCTGGTATGTGGAGACACTCTCTGATCAAATGACAAGGTGACATACAGATTTTATTCATGAACCACCAAACTCTCCTCACGTCCTCAAGCATAACAGACAAAAGACAGAGTTGAACTGGGTTATCATAGGATGGCAGAGCTGTTTAAAATGAAAAGCTTCTTCTTTACCATATTCTGTTTCTTTATTTTTTGTCTCTTTGTATGTCATATATATATATAGGACATATATATGACATACACATAGTTTTGACATCTATTATATTTTCTTCTTTTTTTTACAATAGAGAAACAACATAGAGATGACACACTATTTGGTTTCTAAGTAGAAGCTTCTTGTTAAATAGTGGCATATAAATCTTTTTATCTTCTTCAATACTTCTTTAAATCAACATCCCAACGATAGTCATTAACCTTTTTATAATTTATTCACATTGTGTTCTCGGTTATCCAGTGTCATTTGCAAGTTCTCTCTGTAGTCCAGTTCCATAGCTCAGAGAGTAAAGTCTTGTGATTGGTCAACATAAGGGGGCGAGGGGTGGTGGGGTAGTGCCCCACCCTGTCCGACCCCACTGAACATTTGTGGATGCAATTCGTAAGTTCTATTGATTTATCCAATCAGCTTTTAGGAGGTGTGAGACAGGACACACCTCTAAGCTCACCAGACAGATGGAAGTCTTTCTCTCCCTTGAAAAATGAAGTTTGTAAACCAGCACCATGCTCTTCTCTTAGACTCCCTCCGCGAGCTGACCGTACGGGCCGGCCCTCCAGTTTGCCGGTGGATTTGGACAGGCTGGACGATGCCAGTACGGCTGTAGAAATGACAGTCTTTGCTCTACTGGAGTCTGTACCTGCTCCCAAGGCTGTTGTGTAAGTGACAAGGCTTTTGTGTTTAGTTTGACCCACCACCAGCGCAGACTCGGAGCACGTGAGTCCATGTGACCCCTGTACCGCAGTGAGGCTGGCCAGAGACTGGCTGGAATTGGCCAAGGACAATGCCTCTGCTTCAGTCTCAGGATTGATAAGCATGTGACTCGCAGAAACTCCACTCCTATAAAGCAGCACGGCGCTGCCTCCATCCACGGACCTGTCCCCGACGTCAGACGCCTGGACGGAGGGGATGATGGGAACGGAGCAGGCGCGGTGGGACGGGCGAGGAAAAGCTGTTCCCTGATCCAGACGAGTGCAAGGAACATCGGCGTAGGCCAGTCTTCCTCTAGAAGGTGCAGAGGCCACAGTTTGCATATTCAAATAGGAGCGGCTGTGCTGATTGCCATCAGTGTGGGACTGGCACCTAGAAGAACCCCCAAGAGAGAATGGAGAGTGAGGATTAGTACCTTTGTGGCATTGTGTAAGGTATTTTTATTTTTTTATTTTATTTTTTTTATATTATTTGCATTTTCCTTTCCTTTTCTCATTCTTTGCAGCTCACCCTACGAGAGAATCCACTCAGCCTGTGAGAGCATAGTGTGTATGATTTTATCCTGCAAATCATCTCAGCGGTAGGGAAATTATTTCGAGGTAGTGGAAATTTAAAATCTTTGTGTAATTGTTCGTAATCCACAACACTGGCCTCGCGCTTTTTGGCAGCATTAATGTTAACTCCGAACTCTCTCTTGCGCCGGCCTTATCGGAGATTTAAGCCGTTCGTATCAAAGCTCGTGTGTCCCTGACCCAGGCCTATGAGCTGATGAATGCTACATTCTGACTACTTCATTTGACTGATGGCTTTTTGATCTGCACGCACAGGCTTCTTATCAAGCCCCGCACACCTTGTCCAACGGCAGCTAAAGGAACCCAGATAGCACACAGCTTTAAACTGGGACAGCGTGCCGGAATAATGCGAGCGGATCCAGGGATGTGACCGAAAGACCAAAGCAGGTTATCCAAAGTTTGTGTCGGGTAAAAGTCCCAGATACTGCTGCATGCTTATTTCTGTTAAGGTTTATAAGGCTACAAAGCGGCAGCTCCCTGCTACAGTTACCCACTCATCTCGACCACAGCCATTTACAGACAGCGTAAAAATATTCCCACTTCCTGTGAAGTATAACAGTGTGACAGAAACATCAGCTCATAAAAACAGATATATTTGGCAAAGTTGGCGCCCTAAACACTAACCCACTGAGCGTTATTGCCTGACAACAAAGACTATTAAATAACAGGGCTTGAATAATTGATTCCTATTTCACAATGCTTGGGTATTAAAAGTGTATTGTAGCTGGAGGTTAATCTGCTACATCTAAACAAGGCTAAATATAGCATTTCTATGGGGGATTTACTGACAGGGCATGTGTAGGCTCATATGCCCATCTTTTGGTTTTTGCTGTCTACATCCCTCCCTCTCTCTCTTTCTCTTCCTCTCTCTCACTCTCCTCCCCTCCCTCCTCCTGAATCCACGTTCCTGGAGACCGGAGGGTGTCTCCATGGCAACAGGGGAGAGGTTCGGGGGTGGTGTTGATGTTTTAAGGCTGTTAAGTCTAGAAATAGGTCAGTCCAAGCCTGTCTCCCTTTCCCCAGCCCTAGTCACAACTGGCCAGAGACAGAGAATATGAGAGGCTTATCAATTCGTAATTAATCACGCACAATAATAATAGTAAAAGCCAATTCTGTCACTGACGGTCATTAGCGAGGGAAGAGAGTTGGTTTCCCATGGTTTCAGGCACATGTTTATTTTAATTAACAACAGAGATTCCTGCTGCCGAGACACAGCTGAATCAATGTCTCCCTCTGTAAGTGTATGTGTGTAAGTGTGTGTGTGTGTGTGTGTCTGAGCACATAGGGAGGATGTCTCATCAGAACCCTTGAAGGAAACTCCAAACTCAGAGCTGCACTGTTTAAGAATGTAAATTATGGAAATAGGTCAAACAGAAAGAGTTGGCTGTGAGAAGAGTTTACGAGTCACTGCGAAGCTGGATCAAGTTGGCATGGTAATGAGAACATCACTTGAAAATCTCCTTTGGAAGAGATTTCACACTCCAAGGCCTCAACTTTGCTCACACACTTTTTTCCTTGCTGCCCTAACCTTTCACCCTTTAGTCTTGCTCAGTGAACCATGCTTTAACCTGATGTATTACAAGTGCCTTATAGAAAATTCTGTAACCTCGAATGTTATGCATTTAACCTCTTTTCACAGTGGCCATAAAACGCAATTTATACCTGTTTTGGAGTCTTTCTGTTTACTGTCTTTCAGATTTAGAACTAAACATTTTTTCTTCTTCAGTAATACTGATGGAATAGTGGATGTGTATGATTTTTATTATACACCCATTTTTACCTTGGCATGGCCGTCTTTGATTTGTCTTTAAAATGTGAATTATTTTCACAACAGGGGGTTCTCACCCCTCCCTTTTCACTCCTCATTGCTCACTAGCAGCTCAACACAGAGTCACATCATTTCACACAGGGAGAGTCAACAGTGTACTAGTTCATCTGGTAAAAGAGTTACAGGTCAAAATATTTGATTTGATTACATTAATGAAACATCTATTCTGACACTAGGGGACCTGAAGACCAACTTTGCACCAAGTGTTATTTAATTATGCAATGGTCCGTTCCAACACACAATCTGATTGCTTAAGACACTTTTTTCACAGTAACTGTGTCATTCCACTGAGAACTTGTTGGTGAGTAACCAGGTGGATACAATAAAGGGTAATGAGATAACAATTCCAGGACAAAATTTAAGCTGCAGCTCGTCTGGTCAGATTCTAAAGTAGAGGGTGACCGCAGGCCTACATTTAATTCCGAACCTGTCATTGCCCCTAAGCAAGCTTTTCACTTATGGAACAATTTAACAAACTGGATTAGCCAGGAACTAACAGACTACAGTTCAGCAAAGTGTGAAATGGGCTGGGAAATGCTTTACAGACTGGCTAGGACAAAACGGCATTCAGGTTAATCTGTTAAATGGCTCTATCTGTAACGCAAATGGCTACTTTTTATTACTATTATTAATAAATGTTTTAATGTAAAATCTTATGCATTTTAATATCCAACATGCAAGTATTTTGTATAACATACTGATCTACTAAATATTTTTAAAAAGTGCTATCAAAAGTTCACCCAAGCATGATGAGCATGATGAAATTTAGCAGGTATGGGTAATATGATTGTACGTTATCATTAGCATGAAAGATTAAGTGATGATACACTTATCTGAGTACATCACGAATTTTTTCAGTACTTCTACAACACTGAATAACTATATAACATATATAGACCAATTCTAGAGAGCCCATAAACAACAAAAGAACCAGTGTACAGAAACTACATAAACTACAGCTGCTTGGATGTTGGTGCAATATGCTGTTGTGCTATTTTATAAATGCATTTTTACCAATTATTTGATTTTTCCTTTCTTTTGAAATAGTTTATTTTTTGCTAAAGTTGTCTTTAAGTATTGTTATGCTACATTTTTCCATACCACCCATCCTTAAAGTGAAATGTTTCCATGCATGTTCACAGACACAGCTACCTTCTCAAGGATTCTGACGTCACATCTGTGGACTCCAACTCTTGGAGATGTTTGTAACTGTGAATAGAATCTTTTGATCCTCCAATTAGATGATGTCCTGCTCTGGAGATGGGTGGAGTCCATCGTGGCACAGATCGATGATTGGATATCTTCTGTTTTAGAGCAGGACTACTCGAGAAGGAACAGCTTCTGTAGTAAAACAAATAGACTTACTGACTGAAAAGAGAACTGTGATGAAAGGGGCAAAAAAGAGAGAGAAAGAAATAGACCAGCTATAGAATTTTAGACACACAGTAAACCTGGTTCCCTACTATTTTAATCTTTAAATGCATGAATGTTTCACCAACCGTTTGTACATACAACAGGTCATTAGTGACCCAGCACAAGCTGATGTGCCTTGACAATCTAAAACTGTCAAAACATTTTACTGACAATAACAATTAATAGAATAAAATATATTTGGATATTTTATTACTTATCTGATAAATGAGGGTGGGGAAATTAGGTTGTTTAAGGGTTGAAATCTATAAAATGTACATATATAATTTGTAGATATATACATGCTAAGTCTAACTGTGTGTAGTATGAGTTTGTGGTGTTTTATCCATATTCTAGAAAGTTCATAGTGAAACTTCCAAAGAACAAGCAGAGTGCACAATTGTTCATTATACATCATTTCCAATCAGTCAGGCTGAAGAATACCAGCTATAATTTCAGCTCATGTGCCTACTAACAGACATCTCAAAGACTGCAATTACAAGCACAGAAGAACACTGCAGATCTATTTTTTTTTGTCTGTCATTCAGAAATGTGTATTAACAGAGTTATTACCGATTACAATATCCACAATTCTTTTTGTGCTGTTTATTTTTTGACACAAACACATTGTGCACTGATTAATTTCCCTCTTTGGATGCCTTCAGGTAAAATATTTAAAATATCTGAAAGGGCTAAAAGAAGAGTACCTGCGGCGTTTCCCCATGGACAGGCTGCGGCTCTGATTGGCTGCAGAGAGTTTGGAGCTGCTGTGCACTGTACCTTTGCCTGACGTAGGGGAGGACCCATGGGCTTTACAGCACTGTGAGAGGAGACGACAGGTGATTTTTATTTTCAGATGAAACTGTAGAACTCTAACATTGTACAGCTTTGTATGATTGCACTTCCACATAATGCTCTTTTACTTTCTCTATGTCTGTCTCTCTCTATATATATACTATATATATATATATATATATATATATATATAGAGAGAGAGAGAGAGAGAGAGAGAGAGAGAGAGAGAGAGAGAGAGAGAGAGAGAGAGAGACTAAAAGTCTGAGACCACTTTGAAAATCTAGGACTTTTCAATTTTTTTACTTTTTAATTATACAAAACAACAAAAAGTTTTACAATTTTGAAAATTTTAAAACAAAGAAAAGTTACGACAAAGGAGAAGAAATTTTCAAGATTCTGTAGTATTTCTAGGTCACTATTCAAATTTTAGGAAATAAAATAAAGTCTTTAACCATGTTAAAGACTTTATACAAAAAGTCAGATTCAGTCTCATTCCTTCCATCAAAGCTCATGTTGAGATGCCTCATGTTCTGAGGCATTTTCTTACTGTTAGTGATCAGAGTCGTGCACACTACTAAGAAACACAAATTTGCATTAAAATTTCAAAGATTGATATGCTAATAATATAATTTGTAATGAAAAACTGTGTATTAAAGTAGAAAAAGAGTAAAACTTAGAAGCATTTTCAGTAGTGATCTCAGATTTTTGGTCCCTACTGTACATATAAATATGTCCACACTGACCAGCTGCTTCATTAAGTATACTTTGTATCTGCACTCTCTGTCTATTTTATCAGCCTCACAATACAGGGACACTCTGTAGTTCTACAATGACAGACTGTAGTCCATCTGTTTCTCTGCACACTTTGTTATCCCCCTTTTATGCTTGCATGAGTGGATCAGACTCAGCGGTGCTGCTGGAATTTTTAAACACCTCACTGTTACAGCTGGACTGAGAACAGTCCACCAACCAAACTTATCCAGCCAACAGCGTCCAGTGAGCACTGATGGCAGACAAGAAGATGACCAACACAAACTGTGCAGCCACAGCTGAGCTACTGTCTCTGACTTTACATCTACAAGATGGACCAACAAGGTAGGAGTGTCTAATAGAGTGGACAGTGAGTGGACACAGTGCAGCACTGATGTGTCTGATGTATTAACACACCACCACCATGTCAGTGTCACTGCAGTACTGAGAATGATCCACCACTAAAATAACACCTTTAAAGGGGAAGAGAATGGCAGCTGAGTTAGTTTTAAGATTTAAAGGATGGTGGCAACAGGTGCACAAAAGTAAAGAGTGGACAAATTAGATACCGATAGATTTGATTGTGTACTTAATGTTGGAGGCTTTTGTCTAATTTTTGTGCAATTTGCTATCAAATGTATGAAGATGTTGTGTTCTCAGAACAATGGACTGGCCACCCCAGAGTCCAGACCTCCACATCACTGAATGTGTTTTGGGATTACTTGAACTGTGAGAAGCAAAAAATGCAACAAACTTCTAAGACTGAACTTTTGAGGTGTGGAAAATATCCCTGCAGATTTCTTTGACAAACTGAAAGCAAGTATCTGAAAAGAATGGAAGCTGTAATAAGGGTAAAGAGTGGACACACTAAATACTGAAATAAAGATATTTAGTTGGTGAGGCTTCTGTTTTATAATAAATGTATGCTTTCTGTTTTTTTATGCTGAAACATAAACAATGTATATTTAATTAAATATAACAATTATATCTAATGGCCATTTTGATTGGAAATTAAGTAAATGAGGGGTGGTCTTTGATTTTTGTACAGTACTGTATACACTATATTCTCTCTCTGTCTCCCTCTCTCTCGACCTTCTTTCTCTCTCTCTGTATTTCTTCTTCATGTACACACACACACACACACACACACACGTGCATACACACACACAAGCCCTTGACTCCGCAGTGTCAAAGATGAAATAGTGGATTATAGACTAAGCAGAGAGACAGAATGTAGATGTTCATTCAGTGATATATGGCCCCTTAGCGAGAGAGAGCCACTTTAATTAGACGTTACGTTTAAACAGCAGATTAAGAGAGACACTCTCTGATTACACTCCCTGCCGGCTCTCCCGGCCCTTCTGCACGAGTCGGGAACTAATCCCAGACAAGATTACATTAATGGATTCCTAAAGAATTTCTTTCATTTCTTTTTTTTTCTAGCTCAAAATTAAAACCATTATCTTACAACGGGCCAGGACTTGGAGCCCACTCGGAAATGAGCCCGAGATGCCCCCCAAAGTCGTCGGAGTTGTAAGTCACCAGATAATGTAGTTATTCCAGTTAGTGAAATCTGCCTGCCTCTCCTGGCCTGTGGAACATCATTAAAGCCACTGGGTTTGACTTTAAACTAGTTTGGGGCCTTGCAGCTGATAAAGCGTGTCCTCCTAACACTTGTGCCTCCTCAGGGACCTGTTAGCATTGTTCTTCTCTCCAGCAGGAAAATTGGATCATTTCTGACCACCCTCTCCAACCCTCAGCTGGGCAAGAATGCTCTGCGGGAAAAGGGAGCCGCTGCTCTCTCCAATATAATTGCAAGAACTATTTTTTTTTTCCAGAGACTGAAACATGCAGATTCATCCCCACATTAAAGCTAACACTGCGACAGCCCTGCAGTATGACTTTATCTTCTAGTCCATTCGCTATTCATTAGTGTTGTATTGTAGTTGTGCATCTGAGCACATTATATAATGGCTTTGATTCATACGGGTGGAGATGTTGATGATTAAAATGCCACCAGACTACGAACTGGAGAGAGAAATAAAAGTGCGATCCTTTTCAAACCCAACAATGTACACATGAATGCGAGCTGTCTGTATCTTTTGGCTGAATGAGAATGGGTTGCTTAGGTCCATGGAAGCAGAAAGTGATGGATCTCCCAATTTCTAGACGACTCCTCTATTCAGCTGTTTCTTTTTTTTTCCAGCAGCAAGTCAAAGCGGACTGGCTTTGACTGCTGCTCAAATGGATGTGGTGTTTACTCTGTGAGCTACATGAGCTGCTATTTCTGTCAGGGTGAGGGATCATCAGCAGGTGGGAGAGCAGTAAAGCTACAGAGGGCATCATTCCCTGAGCTGCCTGCTGGCCAACTGTATTCATTACACATCACTGTTATGCACAGGAAATGCATTTGGAACGCTGTCCCAGCCACACACGGGTGGTTTGATTTCCCACCATCTTCATATGGCTGCTATGCATGGATGAGAGCGTTGCAGCGTGAATTTGAAAATGCTGCTTATATTGGTTTTCAGACAGAAGAAAATATGCTTTACCTTTTGATGCTGGAGGCCACATTCCGTTCTGGAGCTGGATTTAGACATGAGCCGCAAAGCATTGACACTGCAGTCCCTCAGGTTACGCATCTCTGTGAGGTGGGCTCTGTGTTTTTCCCTTTGTCTCCTGCAAGATGTTAATAAGCTATGATAAGTCTACTGATACTGTCAAACAGGGATAGACATTGCCTGCTGCCCTGTGCCCCTGACCACAACATTTCACATTTTGGTCACTAAAAATGCAGAGCCTGTAGCCCAAATGGCCAATTGCTTACCTGATGACATAATGTAGATTGTATGACAGGAGCACGGTGGTCACCACACCAGCAATATTCTTAATTGTGAAATTTTTATTAAGTATTTACTTTTTCAAAGCAACAACAGACTGTTGGAACTCAGGCATGCTTGTTAACTGTGAATAAAATTTACATTCAATAAATTCATTTCTATTATTGTGGCTACAGGACTTATTAGGTTGGTGGTCAGAATGGCCACTGTAAATTGTTACATCTATCCCTGCTGTTGAAGCAGAAAGGAACACTCCATTGCTTTTCAACTTAATATCTGTTTACTGCATCAGTATTAAATGGTCAGTTGCCATGAACAGTAATTGTGATGTATCTTTATACTCAGAAAAGACCTAAAACACGCTCATAATAGAGGGAAATGAACAAGTTTTCAGTTCTTTTACTAAGTAGAGGGGATAAGTGCCAAAATTACCGTCCATGGTAATTGACCATAAGTAGCCATTTAACGAGTCACTCTGATCAACCTTAATTTATATTCAGGAATATTGGAACCTCTTTACAGAATCACATTTTGGCAATGTTTAGATGATTTAATTGCAAATATTGCAGCAATTGCACAGCGTTGTGGCCTATTTTACACTCTACTCACAAAGATTTAATGGAATAACACTTTCAACTAGCTGAAGTAACAGATATTCCTCTGTTTATCTTGAAGACTTTAGTGCCTTTCTTTGGGAAATTTTCAACAGGCCACCTACTATGGCTTTTGCAGTCTCTTTCTGAGTTCAGTTTGATGCACTAATGGCAAAATGCTGAGTGCTGTGGGGCTCAGAAAAATTGAGCAGTGCTGGAAGTCATGGAGATGCAGCATGTCCAAGAACAGATGTCAGAGATTGTGTTTGTGCATTCATTAAAAACAATGGTTTTAAATTGTTAGGAGCTGCATAGATCCACTCTGCTGAAAAATCCAGCTAAAACCAGCTATCAGCAAAGGTCTAGGTGGTTGACAAGCTGGACATCCAGTTGGACTACACGAAAACATAGGCTACCCTATGCTGGTCAACCAGCTAGTGATTTGAGTTTCATGGTTTAGCTGGTCTGCTAGCATGACCAACTAGACCAAGTTTGACCAACCAACTTGCTGATCATACTGGTCAACCACCTTGGTCATGCTAGTCAACCAGCTCGGTCATGCTGGTCAACTAGCTCGGTCATGCAGATCAACCAGCTTGGTCAAGCTGGTCATGCTGGTTGACCAGCTAAACCATCAAAATCAAACAAAACATACTCTATACTGGTCAATCAGCTAAGCTCGTCTACCAAATGAACTACCTTGAGCTGGCCAAACTGTTTTTTCAGCAGGGCATTGCATGGCAGCCTTTAAAAACATGGCCTACAAACATTTCAGTTGTTCAGTGTTGACAGTCGGCCAAACTAGCTTAAAACTAGTGTGAACAGGGGAGACCATTCTAGAACAATGTGAGTGGGGAGAACATTCCAGAACATCTAGAGTTTAGGCTACCAAACTTTTGGGTTTGTTGGTCTTTGTTGGAGTACGCTGAGTCAGTGTGCTCTAAATTTTAAGGAATAGATATAATGAGGACTTGTGACCATAAATGATGTTGGAAATAACAGTGAGGTAGTATCTGGCCAAGCGGTAAGTTTAATTAGGCAAGGGGGTGAAAAAAATGACAGAGGGGGCACGACTCCCCTTACCCAATAAACCACAGGCAACAGGCTTCTGTCTTTGTAATAAATATCAACACACAATTTGTGACTTTCTTCAGCATTACTATTACAGCACAACACCGTAGAATCAGAAATATCATAGCTAACCAGATATTAAAATAAAAGTATTAACTTCAGTGAACAGCAGCGCACCAACACCAGCCACTCAGGGAAATCAAATAAAACTCTAAACTGTATTTTACTCAGCTTACCCAGCACAATCCTCAAAGTGATAAACTCACAAACAGAAAGGACACACAGTACTGTTGGCGTAAATCACCACTCTTACACAGCACTCCTGCTTTGTAGCATTCTTTCTCTTTTTTAAATATCACTTGAGTGCTACAGCTCTGCTTAATTACTGCGAAACACAAAGACAAAAAACTAAATACGGAGAGTCTTGGAGAGGTACCTTCCTGCAGAGCCTAGTTCCAACCACATTTTGCTACACCTGCTCCCGCTAATCAGCCTCTTTCCCAGCTTATCCGATACAGGTAGAAACTAAATTCTGCAGGAAGGTAGCTCTGCAGGACCAGGGTTGGACACCACTGTCCTACCCTAACTCAGAAGAGCTGCATCTGTCTTGATGCAGCCTTGACTCCCCTAAGCAGTCTCTCTTTCTATTCCCCACAGGGAAGTTTTGTTATAAGGTCCCATTCAAATGTTCAAACATATTAGCTGTGTAATCTTGGTGTGCAACATATTCCTTCTGTGCTCCTGAAAACATCTTTCAATCTTGAAAATTAGTTTTCACACGTGGATGTGTTTGCTCCCTATGTCTGTACAGTAGGCTTTGCTGTTAGGCTGGGATGATATCCGTCCAAAATACTCTAAGACATCCATGTTTTTGTCCAGACTGTTTAACAAATCTGTTTAGCGATAGCGAACTCAGCCTCTGCTAACTCCAACATTGTAGAAGGTAGACATTAAAAATCAAGTTGAGATGACAAGCTTTGTTTTGTCAGTAGAAAATGAACTAAACCAGAGATTCTCTAACATAAGAAGAGATGGCAATCCTCTGCTGTTTGACATTGAGGAAAAGCATAATGTCTGGCTTGGCCAATCAAATCAGACCTCGTAATCTGTAAGCCAATCTTGACGTCAGTGAAGCTCTTCTAAGTGTTAAAACAGGTCAAGAGCACAGCACTGAGTCATTAAAATGACTACTTTACAAAAGCTGATTTTGCCAAAATCATAACTTATCACTGCCATCATAATATTGTGGTGTCAACATAGTAGAATATGCAGAAAACACTGCAGATACAAGCAAATCACTGCTGTTGGACTAAAACCTTGTATCTCCATTTTTCGTTGTTTTTCAGTTTTTGACATTATTTGAAAATGCCTACTGTCCTTTATATTGTGTGTAAGTTTCATTTTGAATTTACCAAAAGAAATGGCCCATAATTACTTCCAAAGATGTCTGGTTCCATTGGCTTACATTAAAGGTAAAGTATGTTTTTACCTTCTCCGGTAAAGCTACTATTTTGGAGATACAAGGTTTTGATCTGACAGCAGCGAAATGCTCTTTTATTGAACAGGTAACAATGGAAAACCCCCAGCCCAGTGCTACTGAAACACAGCTGGAGTAGTGGGAACATGACTTCTAGTCAACAAATAAACACATCTCCAATTAAACAACAACAACATAAACAGACACAACAACAAATGTCTTTTCTTAACTATGGGGGGAGGCATATGATTGCAGCTTTGCATGCCATGCCCCTAAAACCCCTTCTGAAACGTGGATTGTGTGGTGGATACCACAGTATTATACAGGTGTGTACCAGTCATTTATCATAAACTTTTCCACAGTATTATATCTTTTGTAGGTGAGACTGCGTCTGTTTGGCGATGTATGAGACGCTGGGGCAGTGCTGTAAACATCTTGCAGTTACTTGTTTCACAAAACCTTTGTTTTTTTTATAATATACACATCATAGTTCATTAAAAATGGACGTGTGGCAGAAAACAGTTTGAAGAAGAACATCAGAACAGTTCAGTTTCAGTCTACATCCACAAAACAGCAGGTTTTTTTTTTTAGTTTCTCAGGTGTTTCCTCATTTTACTGCCATTCACTCACTCAGCGCCTCTGGTCTCCCTGCTCACACCCCGTTACGTGTTTTACACCAAGGATTGCCGTCTCCTCCTGGGGGAGGTTCTCTGATTAAACTGATGGCGACATGTAGCTATGGGCTCATGTCAGGCAATTTCGATTGAGATGTCTGAATGGCTTGGTCAGCTAGAAAATCCATGTAATTAATGTGAATGCAGTTTGAAAATGAATAAATAAATAAAATAAATAAAATAAATTCTAAGTTGCACTACAAATAACACAAACACAAAACTAGTGTGGGGAGGTGTGGGGGGCTTGTGGGGAGGCACAGTATTGCATTTAAGTGTGCCCCCTGATGGTGCCAGGGGTAGTATTCTACTGTGTGCCTGATATACTGCAAAGAAAATGACTATTACAACAAACAGTTTCATAACAAAATGTCACACTGATTGGCTTATTCACTGCCACAGTAGATCCGTGAGTACTTCTGACAGACACAGTGGAGGAATATGTTCCATTACTGTCTGCTTAATTACATTCTAAGGAGCGAAATCTCAACACATGCAACTTGAGCATATGATCAGTCACATCTTTTCATATGTACGTCTGTTCAGGTGTGAGACAACAATGAGATTTCCTTCACACCCTTGAGAGAAGTATTAAACTAGTGAAGTGTATCTAAGCTTTAACACAATGAAAACACAATTAAGCATTTTGTTATTCAGCATGGGTTTGATTGCTGTGCTACTGTGTTATCAAAGCATTGTGCATGAGTTCCTGCCCCCTGTTGCAGTTTAGGTAATAGCTGGTAACGACTTACTTGTTCCTGCAGTAAAGAGCCATGCAGGCCACTCCCAGCAAGCTGATGCCCATAGCGATGCTGAAGATTGACAGGATCTGCCTCTGGTAGGTCTCTCCACTCTCTGATGAAACAGGTATCAGGGAAAATCCACAGTTACTATAGAAATTTCTCCTGCTCTCTCTCTCTATTTCTCTCTCTCTCTCTCTCTCTCTCTCTCTCTCTTCCTCTGCTGAGTCAATACGAACTGAACAAAGACATTTTCACAATTATTAGTTTTCTTACAGGCTGTGAGGAACTTTAATATCAGGTTGTTTGGACAGGTATTTCATAGCACAGATCTAATATAGACTGTCAGTGATGATGGCAATGAAGTGGTGCAGGTTATCTAGGAAGATGTTACGAAGTGAACTAGCACATATAGAACTAGACCTTATTATCACAGTAACATTGTCACTTGACACAGAGAATCTTGAATTACTTACCGCAAAGCACCATCAATTTACAATGAATGGTGCATATCACTTTCACACCTCATTAAAACTGTTAAAATGATCTTAACCCTTTGGGCCCATTCACTCACTCTCTTAACTACATGACGTCCACATTAATTTCATTGCAGTTAGTGGATAATTCATAGTAGTTATGGAGTAATAAGTCTGATTAATGAGTCTACAGCTTAAGGGGTTAAGAAGACGTTACTTTTGAACAACACAGGTCCATGTTTGACATTGTAAGAGATGTGGAGGTGAAGAGACTGGCATGCAGAATGATGGAAGGCTGTACAGAATCAATAATGTGAGATAATAATACTAACATTCTGGATGTGTGTTTCCAGAGACATTTGTTAATTGAAGTGTGCTAATGATCTGTACAGAGAAAGCCAACGCTACACTGCAGAGCCAACGTCTGTCTCTCTCTCTCTCTTTCTTCCTTCTCACTCGCTCTCTCTCTTCCTCTCTCTCACTGATGTTCGGAGGAAGCCAGCAAAGCCACTGGGATAGAAACATCAGCCCAATGAACCCATGCAGCCCTGGCTGGGAGATGATCCCAGATGAATGCCCCCCCATTTCTCTCTCGCTCTCTCTCTCTCTCTTCTCTTTTTTTTCTTTCTCTCTCTCTCTCTCTCTCGCTCACAACTTCTCATATTAGAATTCTTTATTTAGGCTTTTTAAAATATACAATTAATAAATAAAAATGCAATAAAATGGCCCAAATTCATTTATTCATCAACAAGTGACTATGTCACCAATAATTACACAACAGGACTGGGCTGTACCAGTTCTCCATACATTTGTACTTAAGTTTGTGCCTAAAGTCTTTACTAAGTCCTTAGTTTAAACAAGTTTCAAACTATAGTTTTACCAAATTCACTTGCACCACCCATCTGTAACCTTAACATGATGATAATAAGTTCAGAACCATTCAATAAATATGCTGCCACGGAAACACAGATGGCAACTTGCACTGGTTGTATAGTATAGAACAATGTGCACACGCGTATGTTTTTAATATTGAACTGAACAAAACTGAACACCTATAGACACAGTTTGCTTGTTTGTTTGACTACATTATCTCCTCCTGACAACTGTGTGTGAAAGAGCATCTTCCCTTAAACAAAGGTTTCTGGCCAACCAACACAACCGGAGCATCAGTCTAGAAGATTGTGTACAGCTGGTGCAACTGGCCTCGGTAGAGTACAGAGTTTTATATGAGCAAATAAAGTATCTATTCCTCCAACTTTCAATTACTGGAGATATACAACAGTATTTTGTGAGTTGTTCTGATTCTAGTAAAACCAAGAATTAGATCTTTATGTACAAGACCCAGATGTCCAAATATAAATACAATGAAAATACATTTGCAGGCTGTATTATTGGTTGACTGTATAAGTGTCATGTAAGGTGAGCAACACACTTCTAACAGAAACACTTTTCATGCCTTTCATTAGGTTATAGCGCAGACTATCAATGATCTAACACACTTCAAAAGCAAAGCCTCGTGTCCGATTTAACACCAGTGGTATTCAATGAAGAAGGATAGGGCTATATATGTAGTCAAATTAAGTGATTTGTTCATTTTTGAAGTAAAAATAAATGAACACACTGTCTGCAGTGAACAAACTTATATATAGCTTTTGGCAAACTTTAGTGCACAATTTTTATTTATTTGCTGCACTTTGCGCATTGGAAAAATAGTAAAACACGAAGTATAAAATGTATTATAACTTTTGCACAGGCCATGTTTTATGTTTAATTTTATTACAAAAAAACAGTAATTGTGCACCAAAGTTTTTTCTCTGTAGACGATATGTTAACTTGATTTCACGAGTTTGACCAGGAGGCACAAATCTTTGCATATGTTTGTATGGAACACACCATAAAACACACAACCAAAGGGAAACTGCCTGAACAATTTAAAATATGCAACAAAAGGCCTTAAATCTTGTGAAATGTCTTAGTTGTCCAGTTATGCGTACACACGTAACACAAGGGATTTGTGTTGGGCCATTGGTAAATATATAAAAATTCTAAACCTTTGTGATATTTTTTCCTCACAAAAAAGAAGAACACTTTTGGAACAGCGCCATAGAAGAAACACTTCCCTAAAGAACATGTCAAAGCTTGGTTCTTTAAGGAATCATCTTTGTAGATGTGTGAGAGGGAGGAAACCTTTTAAAGTCTAACTAATTGTAAAGGTTCTCTACCAACTGAAGGTTTTTCTAGAACTGTCCATCCAACTCAAGAGCCATTTAGGAAACTTTATTAGTGAGGGTGAAGTCAAAAGGTGACAAGGCCATTCAACCAAGATAATGTTATCTTCTTTTCTCTGTCCGTGTTTACATGTTTATTTTCTCTTTTGTTTTCTATTGTTTCCTCTCTCACTGTCTCTCAAACACACATACACACACATAGGGTAATGTCTGTGACCAGACTCATTTACTATCCAGATTAAAATCATTCAACTGAACAGTAATACATGCCTTTCTGTCTGTCTCTCGCTCCCTCTCTCTCTCTCATCTCTGCCTGTATCTCTCTCCCTCTGTGTCTTTCTCTCTGTCCGTTACTGTCTTTCTCTCCCTCTCTCTTTTTGTCTGTCTGTCTCTCTGTCTTGTTTTCTCTCCTTCTCTGACTCTCTCTCTGTCTCTTTCACATTATTTCTCCGTCTCTCTCACTCACTCTCACTGTCTCTTTCTCTTTTTCTTTCTCTTTTTTCTTGTTGTTTCTCTCTCTATCTCTCTCATTCTCTCTTTCTCATTGTCTCTCATGCTCTCTTTCTCTTTGAGGGTGTTTGAAGTGGAGCTAGTGAAGCAAGTGTGTGAACACAGGCTAATGGAAAACTTCACTGGATTCACTGAATATTTTCAGCTGTCAGGCATGAGACAGAGGGTGGTGGGGGTAGGGGGCGTGCTGGACTGAAAAGTGGAAGCGGCTTGTATCAAAGGAGAAAAAAAGATAGCCAGTGACGGATAGAAAAGAGCTGGAAAAAAGCGCCATCTTCTATAAAAGTTCCTTTTTACTGCAGTGTTTTGGCTCCCGGTTGTTGACACTGCTTAAAATCTGCGGCTACTCCAGCTTGTCAGGGTAGAGGCAGCCACTTATCCCTTTGGCTGTGTGATATTTCTGATCCCCAGAGTCGCACTACATAATGTGCAACCTCAGCAAGTAATACACCTCGGGGCTTAACTGTAATTAAGTGTGACGCGCAGTAGCACAGCCATATGCAGAGAGAGACACACACACACACACTTTGTTTTTTATATAATGTCAGAATGTGGCACCATATTGACATGTTCAAATAAAACCTTACTGAATTGCTGTTTTTGTTGTTTTTATTTATTTATTTTTTATAGAATTTGAAAATGCCAACTGTCTTTTACATAGTGTTAAAATTTCATGATGAATGGAGCAATAAAAATGCTCCAGATTGCTTGAGAAAAAATCTTGTTCCGTCATCTTCCATTGAAAGTTTTCCATTGAAGGTTTTTTCTTCTCTTATAAAGTTACCATTTTGGAGATGTTTTGTCACGACAGTGATATGCTCCATATGTGTTATTTATAATGTGGCGGTCATAAAAAACCTCCATTTTACAGCATATGACTGCCAGCTGCCCTTTAAGTTAACTGAACATTTTATATATGTGTATTTAAACACAGTGCAGTTATACCTGTAGGAGTGGAGAAATTCAGCAGAATGTATTTATTTGTATTTAATAAGTCAATTTGAACGCAGGGTGAAAAGAAAAATAAGGTGAATGCAGTTTCCAGTTCAGTGAGAGCAACAGGGGCTGCATTCTCATTTGTCATGTCTTGTTTGGAGGGGAACTGTAGCTTTCCACTTTGTTGCTGTTTTTGCTAGTTTGCTGTTTTTGATTTATCCAGTATTCCTGCCAGTACTGTCCAGCGTAGTCTGCTGAATGCATTCTCTGGTGCTAATGTTAGTGACGTTACTGGTATCAATGGTCTGTTTTGCTTATAAATGATACTTCAGACTCAATGTACTCCAGTGATAAACTAATTCTCAGCATGGCAGTAGCTGGAAATAACTTTTATCAAGAGAGTCATCAATGGAACATGACATTTGAAAGCTTCCTTACAAAAAAGAGAACAATCAAGTCATAGCAAATCAAGTCATAGCAAAAGCATGCAAGTAGCTGGGCTTCAGGCTGGAACCATGGATGCTTTGAATGGTCTAGGAAACTAGGAAAATGCTTTAAAGGGATAAAAAATAGTGGTGTTCATAACTTATTACCTTTGATAGCAGTAATATATTTCTTGTATTGGTCCTGATCATTGATGAACAGAGTAATGGGGAGCTGACAAATTATGCAGGGAAACAAACTGAAATCTGCAACTGCAGAGCTACAAAATGCACCTACATGGTAAGTGGACCTGATAAAATGGACCATGTGTATAGAAACAAGGTAGGCTTTTTAAAAAATAAAACAAAAAGTCTAAAAGTGCAATGACTTTTGTACAGGTCATATGTTATGTTCTCTTTTTCCCCCCATATGTTAAATTCAGTCAATAAACAGTAACTGTGCATTAACATGTAGACGTCTCTGTAGAGGATGTGTGACTTATTTTGAGTTAGAAAATCAATAAAACATGCAATTTAACGAGGCACCAAAACTTTTGCATATGGCTGTTTATGTAACCACCTATACATGTATATAAGCCATAATACACTTAATGTCCATTTTCTCAGCTCCACTTACCACAGTGGTGCACTTTATAGTTCTACAAGTACAGATTGTAGTCCATCTGTTTCTCTGCATACTTTGTTAGCCCCAATTTACCCTGTTCTTCAGTGGTCAGGACCACCACAAATCAGGTAGTATTTGGGTGGTGGATCATTATCAGCACTGCAGTGACACTGACGTGGTGGTGGTGTGTTAGTATGTGTTGTGCTTGTCTGAGTGGATCAGACACAGCAGTGCTGCTGGAGTTTTAAACACCTCAGTGTCACTGCTGGACTGAGAATAGTCCACCAACCAAAACTATCCAGCCAACAGCGTCCAGCGGGCAGCGTCCTGTGACCACTGATGAAGGACTAGAGGATGACCAAAACAAACTGTGCAGCAATGGATGAGCTATCATCTCTGACTTTACTGAGACTGACCCACCACCCGGATACTACTTGCTCTGTGGTGGTCCTGTGGGCATCCTGACTATTAAAGAACAGGCCAGAGGGTGTATATATGTAGGTACTTTTATATATATCTATTAATATGTAATACAGTCTTTCTAGTCCTAACTCTAACCTAACACAAAAAAAAAGTTTTTGCCTATTTAGTTATAAAAAATGAAATGCAGCTTTCATAAAAATCACAGTTTTTATAAAAATAATAAAGTCAGGACACCCCCACACACGCACCCACCCATCCACAACATGTGTATGTATGTACACCCGCATAATTTACATTGTACAAACAGATGCTGCAGGCTGGGATCTGTACGTATCCTCACAATCCATCTCATTCACTACCTATGTGTCCACGGAGACACCAGGAGCTTTAGCATTTAGCCACAAGTGTTTATGTGTACATTAATTCTGAGAGAAAGAATCCCAGCTGAGTCATGTGTGGCCTGTGGCTGGCCGTGCCCAACAATGCAACTGTCAACATCTTCACTAGGAAATTATCTGTAGGGTTCCTCTCTCCGTCTGTCGCTAAGCATAGTGTCAGCTAGCCAACCCAGTGCATACTCATCACCATGGTTACATTTTAAAATTTCTGGTGTGATGGTGATCATGAACTGTAGGTAAGGCTCTTGTAGATATCTCTCATCTTATATCGTGACTACACCACAAAAATGATATCTTTGCAGGTGAGAGCATATTAAATGTAGTCAATATATTTAGTATTCCTCCTCATGACACTGTAAGAATATTGGGCCTCATTCATTAATATCTTCCTAAGTCTCTTCTTAAACTTGTTCTTGAGAAAGATGCCAAGAAAAAGTCTGTGTCAGATTCATGACGTGTTCTTAAACCACAGAACTGTCCACACCTCTGTGCTTTTGAGTGTGTGTAGATTCTATTCTTACCAAAGCACAAATCCCGAATATGACGCATCCTTAAATGCATTATTTAAAACAAGCAAAAATGTCTGCCAGTGGAATAACATTACTAGATTTAAGATGCTTTCACCTGCCAGTACATACTTTTATTGCTTTGTGGAATTCCTAGACTTTTTATTTTAAAAATACCATGGTATTAGAACCCAGCTGCAGCTGACTATACATATCAACATCTAGTAGCAATCCTGTAATGACTCTCTGTTGTTATATTTTGGGACATATCACCAAAGGCAACGCGCTACAACAATAAGAGTCCTTGGTCAAGACTCTTAATGCTGCATTTGCCATGCTACCTATGTATCTTGATGAAACTGTAAACTGTTCTGGATAAGAGCAACTGCAAAAATCCACAGTTTGAACTAATTCAGTAAAATGATTCATATAGCGTGGTTGGTATGGCAGAGCGGGTAACGCTGCCTCCCTCCAAGTGATTGGGGTTACATTCCCCTCCTGGGCGAGCACACCACACTATACTGATAAAAGTCCTTAGGCGAGACTCTTACTGCTACATTTGCTCAGCTCACTAATATGATTAAGTTATAAGTTGCTCTGGATGAGGATGTCTGCCAAATTATGTACATGGATGATTTGTGTCGTTTTTTTTTTCACCAGGGGGCCTTGCATCTCCTTTCAAACTGAGCCTGGTTATTACACAGTACAGCCCAATGTTTAGAACGCCTTCTATGGGCACACTGACAGAGTCATGTAGTTGGAAGGTAAAATAATGCAGGTGCATGTGTTTCATAGCCAGTGTGCGTCAGTCTTCTCTCTCCTCGATTTGTAGCACTGTTGTGTGTGAATGGAAAGACCTTGTAAAACAAGCAAAAAATAAAATAATAAATGGAATGAATGAGGCAGGATGTGTATGTTTGTGAAGCAGCTAGTAATTAAAAAAACATAAATTTCCTTACCCATAAACTCGATGCCCAGCTCATCTGCTGCTCATGAGAGAAAAAAGAAAGAGACAGAGAAAAATGCAAGTTATTATTCTATTATTTTATATAATAATTACTCAAATATGTTTAGAAAGACACACATTATGTGTCGCTTCTGCCGGTCGACTGATCGTTGTGATCAAGGCCACAGAGAGAAAACAAATGCTTGCACTGTAGCAAAACTCTGCGCTGTTTGTCAGCCAAAATCCCTCATTTGGAAAAAGACAAAGAAACAAATTCCTGTAGCGCTCTGATTCAACAACAAAAATAGGTTTGTCTAGATCAGTCCAGAGGGAGTGGGGCTGGAAGTTCAGCGATTGTGAAATAGCTTGCATATAAAAAATCTACTGCACATTTTATCGCTGCCTCTAGACCAGAGCTGTACTCCTGCACAGATTGGCTGGAGGAGATAGACTCTGCAAATGCCTCTGTGTCTGCTCCCACACCCAAGAGACGCTCATAATTGTCTCTGCTGGTCACAAGTTTTTATTAATTCCTGCACCGTTATCCCTTCTGTCTCCTCTTTAAGCATGTCTGCTCCAGTGGTGCATGTTAATGACCGATTGGCTCTTTAAATGTGTTCTCTCTCTCTCTTTCTCTCTCTCCTGTCTCTCTCTCTCTCTGTTTCTTTCTTGCTTCTCTTTCTCTCTTTACCTCTCTCTCCCTTCTCTTTCTCGCTATCCCTCTCCCTCCCTCTTCTTTCTTCTCTCCCCCTTTCTTTCACTCTTTCCTTCTGTTTTCTTCTGTATTTACTTCTCTCTCCCTTCTTTCTCTCATTCTTTCTCCTCTTGCCTCTCTTTCTCTTTATCCTCCCTTTTTCTTCTCTTTCTCCTCTTTCTCTCCCTCTCTTCTTTTTCTCAATTCACTTTCAACTCAATAAGCTTTATTTTTTCTTTCTCTTATTTTCTCTCCCCCTCTCATTTCTTGCTTCTCTCTCTCCTCCTGTTTTTTCTCTTTCTCATTGTCTCCCTCTTCTCTTGCCTCTCTTTCTCTCTATCCCCCTTTTCTTCTCTTTCCCTTTCTCTCTGTTTCTTTCTTGCTTCTCTTTCTGTCTTTATCTCTCTCTCCTCTCTTTCTCACTATCCCTCTCTTCTTTCTTCTCTTTCCCCTTTTTCTCTTTCACTCTTTCCTTCTCTGTTTCCGTCTTCACGTCTCTCTCCCTTCTCTTTCTCTCATTTTCTCTTTCTTTTCTTGCTTCTCTCTCACCTCATGTTTCTTTCTCTCTCCTTCTCGTTGTCTTTCTCTTCTCTTGCCTCTCTACCCCCTTTTTCTTCTTTTTATCCTCTATCCCTCCCTCTCTTCATTTTGTCAGTTCAATTTCAAATCAGTAAGCTATATTCTCTCTCTCTCTCACTTTCCTTCTCCAAGTCCTTCTCTTTTCTTACTCTTCATTTTTCTCTTCCTTTCCATTTCTCTCCCCCTCTTGCTTTTCTCTCTCTGTCCGTCTGTCTCTCTCTTTCTCTCTTTCTCTCTCTCTCTCTCTCTCTCTCTCTCTCTCCCTCTCTTTCTTCTCCTGGGTCTCTCTCTCCTCCCCCTGCCTTCCTATCTTCTCCCTTCTCTTTCTCTCATTCTCGCTCTCCGTCTCTTTTCTTGCTTCTCTCTCTCCTCCTGTTTCTTTCTCTCTTCTCTTGCCTCTTTCTCTCTATCCCCCCTTTTTTCTTCTCTTTTCCTCTTTCCCTCCCTCTCTTTTTTCTCAATTTTCAATTTTCTCAATTTCAGTTCAATACGCTTTATTTTTTCTTTCTCACATTCTCTCTTCCTCCAACTCCTCTTCTCTTACACTCCATTTCTCTCACCCTCTTGATTTTCTCTTTCTCTTTCTCTCTTTCTTCTTCTGTGTCTCCCTCTCTTCCCCCTCTGTTTCTCTCTTTAATTCTCTTTCCCTTTCTCTCTCCCTCTCTTTTCTTTCTCTCTCTGTCTCTCTCTCTCTTTCCCTCTCCCCCGCCTCTCTCTCTTCTGCTCAGTGTCAGAACTGCAGGGACTGATAAAGAGCTGAGTACTTGTGTTCTTTTCATCCGAACAGTCCCCCCTTTTTCACGGTACTGTAATATAATCTCATTTAAATTAAAACGAAACCCTCACACTTAATTGCTTTTCTGACAGAGGTGGTCTAAGGTTTTTAAATAGACTCTGGATTCACTAAGCCCGGGAAAGATCATTTTTGGTGGACACACTCGGCACAGAAAAAGAGAAATCAAGCACGGTGACAGGAAACCATCTGTTAGCTGATGAATTGTCGCCATGGCGGGTAGAAATTTTCAACGCTGGAGGAATCTGCATATATTAATGCAGTAGTTAAAACACAATCAGTATTAAAATAATAACTATTAATTCTGTCTGAGGTGCAGTAATGGGGGTGACAGTAGGGGCCTCTGAAGTAGATACATTTCTCAGGGGTTTCAGTAGATAACAGGCTGCTGCAAATTTGCTGATAACATTCATGGTGCAGGATGTAGGATTTTTGAGTTAAAAAAACATTAGAGCTAATAACAAACCAGTCGGACCCATTACGTAACAGCTACTGACCGACATATCCAGAGATGCCCTTCTGTCTCTAAAGCAGCTTTTAGAAGTCCTCTCTCAAGCTCATCTCTTGTAAAAGTGCAGAAATACTATGAAAACACAGTAAACAGGCAGGCAGATGCTGATTCTACAAGTGTTTATGTGCCTTTTGGGGAACATTTCTACCCTGTGGAATGAACGCTGTACACTGTAAAAAAGATTTTGTGATTCAATCGAAAATAATATACTTCATGTGGTAACAAGCAGTTTAACAAGCTGTTTTCAAGCCAAATACATTCCTTGAGTAACAAAACAGTTCAGCTGAACAAAAGCAATATTTTTCATCAATCCAAATCACTTCAAATCAACCTCCACTCTATTTTTATTTTTGTAGTGGAAACAGTTGCTGTAGAAGAGCAAAATCTAAGTGCTGACATATTAGTTGTTCCACACTCTGCCTCCAGTAATGCTCAACTGCATGCTCGACTGCTTCATATGTTCAATCACTTAGAAAGGAAACCCACCTGTTTACTGACAGTCCTTAAAGATGCCATATTCTATGTTTTTCTTGGTCCTTTTTTCCACTTATGATTCTTATGTAGTTGTACGAATCCAAAACACTCATAATTCTATTTAATTGTAAGCATAATACTATAACACTATTTATTCTCCATTGCATTTTTCCTTTTACTGAGTTTCATTACTTCATCTTAACTTTATTTTGATATCGCTTTATTTATATAGGTTATATAGGCTGCTATAGGTTGGATAGGTGGATAGAATGTTTGTTTTGCCTCGTTTCCATCTATGGACCATGTTTGCTCATATGGGGAGTTCTTGCTGGTACGTTAACAGTAGCCAGGGTTTCTTCCAGCTGTTAAATTACATTCGAGCGAATGACTGAGATGTTGCAAAAATGATGTGAATGAGGCTGCATTTCCATGAATGAAACTCTCAATGTTGCATCTGTAAAAACACTTCTAAGAAATATGGAGTGAGTTTACAGAAAAACTTTAATATTGAGCAATTTGTCTTTGCAGTGTTAATTTTATGGATGTAGGCTATTTTATATCATAAGAGCATGGAGACAGAATGCACTGGCAAACACAACTGCTCAGGAAATTTCTGCAGCAGGCACCTTATGTTCTTTTACTGTCTAATATCACTGTTAAGTTTTTCTTCTTTGATAAGATAAAGATACGCTTTTCTTTCATTGTCAGTCCACTGGTACCTACTACCTTCTCACATGTTTTGTAGCTATGACCAGATACAAAAACAGAAACACGTGAGCAGCCATATGACTTTTTAAATACTCATTTACAGTATTTATTCTGCAAATGCGTTTACATGATTTAAATTATTTCAAAAAATGTATCACTCAAGCAACCATACAAACTTTAATGCAAAGTTTGGCGATTATATTTGATATTTGCCAGTCTTTTAATGTGATATGTCAAAATATAAATAAAAATAAACTATATGGACAAAAGTTTGCTGACATATGTCCCTCTATGAGCACACTTTAATAAGCTTGTTGAACATCCCATTCCAAAACCATGGGCAATAATATGGAGTTGAGGGCATATAATTGTCTAAAATGTCTTTGTATTTTGTAGTATTAACAATACCCTTTATTGAACCTAAGGGGCTGAGCCAAAACCTAAAAACAGCCCCAGACTATTATCCCTCCTTTGTCAGACATTACTGTTGGCATTATGCATTTGGATAGGTTATGTTCTGATTTTCAGAAGCTCCCAATGCACAATTCTTGTGCTGATGTTGCTTCAATAAACAGTTTGGAACTCTGTAGTGAGTGATGCAATAGAGGATAGGTGATTTTTGTGTACTATGCACGTCAGCACTCGCCGGCACCATTCGGTGGGTTTGTGTGGTCTACCACTTTATGGCTGATGCTTCTATTTCAAAATAATAGCACTTACAGTTGATGGGGCAAATCTATAAGGGCAGAAATTTCACAAACTGACTTGTGGTAAAGGTTGCATCCTATGACAGGGCCACATTTAAAGTCACATTTAAGCTTTCAGAATGACGTATGCTACTGCCAATGTTTATCTAGGGAGATTGCTTAACAATGTGCTTTATTTTATACACCTGTTAGCAACGGATATGGCTGAAACACCTGAATTCAATAATTAGGAGAGGTGGCCACATACTTTTGGGCATATATTGTGCATTAATGGAAACCTAGCTAGTGTTTATACACTACATCAAACAATTTTATAAAAAAAAAAATCATTCATACAGATACAGACTTTTTTATATATAAGATATATAAATGCAGATATTATAAGATACAGGCTATTTTATAATACTAGTGTGTTGTGGGAAGAACTGACTAAATGTATGAAATCTGAAGCCACAGCACACAGGCGGATGTGCTGGCATTACTATTTTAGTGCATTTTGCTCACTAGCCATTCTCTGTGTCTTTAATCCTCGGCGTGTGCAGAAAAACGAATGCCTTTTAAAATGGAGCATTGCTCGAAGAGACAAAAGGCTCAGGCAATGATCCAGGAGGTGTCTCTTATTGGCACTGCCAGTGCAGCATGACCATTGAAGCAGCTGCTGCCTGCGATTGCCCACAATAACAGCTGCATTCATCCACTCGTAATCGCCACGCTGTCACCAGCTGTACCCATGACATCATTAAACATGGGTGGCACATCCGTTATCCTGGTCTCTGCCACGTGGCCTGGCATGGAGCAGTCATAACAGGGCACCTTTAAGAGAAAACTGCTGTGAGAACGGAAGCTCCCGTAACCGCAGTGAGGACAATGACACAACAGTCTATCAGGGGGACATGAGGACTAAACCTGCCATGCAGGGAAACAATAGCAGTAGTGAATCAAATCCTGTGTAATCCTCCCTTTAGTTTGAGCGAGAGATGAAAGCTTGCCTGAGTGCGGCTTACATAGCCTAATACCCCAGAGATAAATACCCAAATTAAAGGCTGTTCCCTGAACGAGCCAGTCATGAAATCTGTCTCTTCTGAGCCACTGGCTGCACAGCTGGACCCCTGTAAGATTGCAGCTCCTCCATGCAGGAGGCCAGCATAATCTACAGCTCCTGATCTGCACTCAGAAGGTCGCAGAACTCTAACTCAAAAAATACTCCCTACAAGCCCAACTTTTGACCCCCCATAGTGATATGTCATTTGCGAAGAAGCTGGCCCTTTGAGGCGATTGCTGCTGGATCATATATCTTTGCTGATTCTGTGACACTCGTGCTGATAATTCATCAGTATTCTGTAGGTCTAATGGCAATAATAACATGCAATAAAACTTTGATCAAAATGCCCCCAGTGAAACATCCAAGATCAACATCTGACTTGTTATAGCGTTATGGTTTAAAGCTAAATCTAGCAAGAATGATGAAACGTTTATTTGACTCTTAGCTCTTGCATTGTGGCTTGTTATGATGATGTACAATGTGCAGCCTCTTGCTGTTTTACATGTATTTAAATAGCTGTTTACATAACAATTGGAAGAATAACAATTAACTTGAATGCTGCTATATTAACATCATAGCAGATGTCTTAAGTTGTCATACACTGTCATGACAGATTTTATTCAGAAATTTAACAGTGTTATGTTGTCATTAATGGTAATTATGGATTTGACATGATGGATGTCGAAATGTTTGATGTCATTGCACTTTATGCAACGAGTACCCTAGTTAGTCGTCAAACACATCAAACTTGATGGCATCTGTGACGTGCATTACCAGTACTAGTAACATGACATGACTGTCATAATCTCATTTTTTGGGGAAACAAAAATGCTAATTGCTAGCTTGGAAAAATAAGAAAGAAAAACATGCAATGATACTGAACGAAGAGCTGTGTGGCTGCTAGAAGAAGCCGGAATTCCCATCAATAACCACCCCCCCTCTACCACCACCACCACAATCAACCTAGTGGTCGAGGTGGCATACTCAGAACAGTGAGCTTTTAATAGAGGCTGACATGCATTGTTTTTCTTTATCTTTTTGGCTGTAGTTGAAAGCTGAGCTGGAGGAGCCCATGCCAGGCAACGTCAAGGAACTTCTTTAAGTATGTCCTTGATGTTGGTCAACATGGAGGCTAAAAAGTTGGCTGACTGAAGATTTTTAACAGTACAGTGTGCAAAGACAGATTCTGCAAAAGGCTCAGAGGACACAAAAAGCATGGGTAGCAGATAGAGCCCTGCTGGCCCTCGGGGGGTGATTCGTGGCTCATTTGGTGGGTTAAGTGAATAAAGATGCACTGACCCACAAACAAACACCGGGTGCGCCAGTGGAGCGAGAGCAAAACAAACAGTGGCCTCAACAGGGTGGAATAAAGACGCATTGAAAACATAATGGGCTATGAAGAATGCAAACCGTGTAATCTGACATGATATATTGGGCCCTGAGATTTCTCTTTATGAGCACCGCGCTGCAGCACACTGTATTTGTTTTCATGGCAGGATTGTAAATCAAGCACATAATCTGGATTAACTGGCTCGTCTCTATCAATACTGTGCGGAAGGAATGAAAAAACTAGATTCTGAAGGAGGCACCCACATCTGGTGCTATCGGAACTGCAGGCAAACTCAAATTACTGTGCCTGGATTTGCTAAACAATGTCAGCGGGAGGGTGGAGGAAGTGCTAAGGAGGAGATAGAGGAGGTGTAGCTATGGAGATGATGGTACTGCCAGCAGAGAAAGCTCCACCTCTGGTAATGATAGATAGAGGGCAGTGAATGTTCTCATTGAAAAAAATCAGATACGGCAGAGCAGAATGTGAGACGCAGTGCCGGGGCCTGCTGGAGGAGCTACAGCGCGATTCTATTACCAGCCACTCAGCAGGGTCGGCGACTTCAAACAGCCGTAAATGGAAGTTTAGGTTTCTATCTCACCCACTGTAAAAGATCACTCCATAAGAGGAAAACCATTCATAGGCCTCTCACAGAAAGAGCCTCTTCTTAGATTCATGCTGGATGTCTCTGCTCCTTTCGCTCGCTCCTTTCCTCTCTGCTTCCCACTGTGCTTTCATAGCAATACAATAGCTCAGAGAAATCCCCGCCTCAGCAACACCTGATTTTTAAGCTACTGTTTTGTCTGGCTTTTAAAACCCTCGCAGTCTTGGGTCATATAATTGACTGATTGGCCTTGAATGATGCCAGCTTGCTATTTCCTAAATTGCATTGACAGAGCAAACACTCTGAGGACAGATAAATCAGTGATCTGTCTATGAACTTCATTCAAAGTTCACTACCAAGTGTCCCTCTTAATCTATTCCCAACCACCCCCCTTACTAATCAACCGAGGTTCTTCTAATGGTGAAAAAAACTAATGATTTTAGCATCGACCTCAAATTAGCAAGATAATTACTGCCTTTCTTTGTATTCTGTTCACGTGACAGGAAGACAAATCCTTTCCTGAGAAATGCTCACGCGCTTCCAGTTTTTCCGAATCGTGAACCGTCGAATTCATATCAGTCCATAGATTTACCGCTAAGGACAGAGAACATACATTTTGAGAAAAGACATAAAACACCGCATTTAAACAGTCAGACGTCTGGTGTACTACTGAGAAAACAGCATGCAAATGCTCATGATTAAAAACTAGAGTTGTTTTTTTTCTTGAGTCTGCCGTATTGTAAAGTAATGGTAATTTCAGCACTTAAAGTGAGGCCTAATTAGCTGCTTTTTAAGTATTTGATTTGGGAAATGGAGAAGGAACCCCCTGAGTTCCAGGGGACAAGAGCTGGAAGCTTGAAGAAACTCTAAAATAACGAAAGAATAAAAAGAAAGCAAACCCAGATATATGTTCTATTTCAGTTTGGTTTCAAATAAACAGTTCTTTTTCATCATTGACACAAAAGTTTGCAGAGCTGGCAGGAGGGCACCGAGTTGATTTTATTCTAGCCTCAGTAACGTGGGTGTGTGTATTTCTAGAGTACAACAGGGCTGTTTTATCAGAAAATCAGTGATGTGAGATGAGCAAACATACTTGGATCAGACAGGATGGAGTCCGTCTTAGGAACAAACTGGTCACAGCGAAGTCCACGGTAACCCTCTTTACACCTACAAGAAAAGAGAAAGCATTATCCATTATCCAGAGAGAGACTGAGTAGGCGTTGCACTACAAAAAAAAAGGATGCCTTAACAAGTGTAAATATCTCAGATGTGGGCAATACATCTAGCATTCTTCTTTCAGAGGGAAATTATCTTACTTGCCACTTTACATGCAAGATAATTCAGCCTAGCTATTCAAGCTATTGTTGCTTATTTCAAGTAATCTTATCGAGCGAAATTATCTCAACTAATCGGCAAGTAATTTCACTTATTGCATGCATTTATGTCTTAAATAGCATGCTCTTTCTTCCTTTTCCTCTTTTTGTGTGTACATGTGCATGTGCCAGGGCATTCTTTATAATGAAGCGAGGTTAGGCTGAGTGTGAGGAACTTGAATGTGCTGGTGGTAAACACTAAGCAGGCTGTGGAAATGTATGAAAAGAGAAGGGATAAGAGTGAGTGAGCGAGGAGTGGAAGGAGAAGGACGGCTAGGCGGGTTTGGCCAGAGCTCTGTGGTGCCTGCACTTGCACAGATAACACAGTCTCGACACTAATGTCACTTCCCCGAGGAGCTATGGGGCTGGATGGGTGTGGGAGGCGTTTGATTGGGCTCTTGCTGAGAGATCCATGAGAGACAGTGGCGCCCATGCTACAGCAGCAATGCAAGCTGAGTGAGTAAGTAGGGGGACTACAGAGACTACTAGCTGTCCTCCAGCAATCTCTTGGACTCTACAGCTGTGTGAGAGATATTTAGCACTTCCTAATTCCCTCAACCACCCTCCCCTTCTCCTTCCCCTTCTCCGGCTCTTCCAGTCCTCGCTTAGCCCTCCAGCTGTTGGACTTCCGTCTGTAAACATGTAAAAACAGTTACACCAGTGCTGTGGCAGTACAGTCACCACTATTTGCCTACAAATCAGGACAATTTTTTGTCCTTTTAAATCAGCATTAAAAATCCACTCCCTTGTGCCTTTGCATGAAATCACCCACAAACCTCGATGATCACAGGCCTCCTTGGCACGGCGCTAATGCACGCTAGTGACAATGCTCACCAGCGATCAAAAGAATAAGCTCACAGACGTCAAGACTAAAAATATGACCCAGCAGAATGAACTTGTGAGTTTGAGCCGAAAAGCGCCATGACAGAATTTATGCTCTTTCATCTGGCTTCATTTCTCGTAATTTCCCGAGCAGGCTGGCTGACAGGCAATCGGCCGACTGTGCAGAAGCCTGTCTGTGCGTCTGGCTTGGAGCGGGGTGACTGGTGGGTATGAATGAAAAGAGCCAGTGCACGCAGCCAGCATAGGAATAAATGATCCCACTGTGTAATTACAGTCACAGAAAGTGACATTACATCAGCAAGCGTAAAACAGGTGAGTCTGATGAGGCTCTGTATCATCCTTCCTTCATCCGCAGCCCAGACTGCCTTGTTAACACTGAGTCACATGTTAATGGCAAGACAAGGTAATGCCCCTTTTATGAATGCGAAAATAAAGCATACCCTGGTAGAAACAGGCTCCAGGATCTTTTTACTAAAGCATAACCTTCCGAAAGAAAAAGGCATTTAAGTGTGCTTCTTAAAAGTATATATAATAGGAAAAGGACTCAGAACACACTGAAATACATATGTATTATGTATTATTTTGAAACAGCTTATCACAAGTGTTTTAAAATTTTGATTTTAAGATTAAGTACATATCAAATGCATTAAGTTACGCTTTTGAGGGCTTTTTTAACAAAAGCACTTAAGTAGACTGAAGTATTTAATCTGTAGACATAACTTTTATTACATTTGTAATATATTTTAAATATAGTACTGGATGTACTGATACACTTCAGTGCTACTTATTGAGTTATACTCCAACTAAAATGCCCTTAAATGCATTTTTTCATGTTTCAATGTCACTAAAACTTATACTTATTACTTAAATACATTAAACAAATAAAACATACATTTAAATGTACTTTTATGAAATAACTAAATATAGTCCAAAGACATGCAGTCAGGCCAACTGGACACACTAAATTGCCCCTAGGTGTGAGTGTGGGTGTGAACGCATATGTCTGTATGTCTGCTCTGCGATGGACTGGTGACCTGTCCAGGGTGTTTTCTGCCTTGAACGCTGGGATAGGCTCCAGCACTGTACCCATACCCCTCCAAAATATCTCCAAAATAGTAACTTTACAGGAAAGGGCAAAAACATTCTTTACTTTCAATGTAAGTTAAAGGGATTCTGGAGCATTTCTATTAGTCCATTAATCATAAAATGTTCATCCAATGTAAAGGCAGATGCTGTGTGCAAATGATGTAGAAAAATAAAAATCAACAAAAAATGGACATCCATGTTTTTCTTTGGACAGTAATAATATTATATTTAAGTAATGTTGAAATTCCTTCCATGCCTGCAAGTGAATTTCTGTTCTAAATTAGAACAAGATATACTGCAGTAAAGTACTAAAGCAAATTAAGACATAAAATCTCCTACACTTTCAAAATATTTAAATGCACACTCTTGGGTCTACCAGTATTCATGTTTGATTGCAAGTTAGTTTGAGTTATATCACAACTAAAATGTCATTAAAAAGTACTAAAAGTATACTTTAAAAGTCATCGCTTTATAATATACTAAATTACATATTTAAGTTGATAACAGTTACATATGCCTTTATTTCAGTACGCTTCAGTGTATAATAAATACATTTATAAAAGTGCATTGATGTTGTTGCATTTAAATGTGCTAATAAATGTTACAAATATACATTAAAAATAATGAATATAAAACGTAAAGTATATTTTAATTCTATTTCCATTAAATAAAAATATTACTTTCAGTAATCAGTTTCTCTATACACTTTTGATGTACAACCCCATTTCCAAAAAAGTTGGGTTGCTGTAAAAAATGTAAATAAAAACAAAATGCAACGATGTGTAAATCATGTAAACCCTATATTTCATTGAAAATGCTTCAAATCAAATCAAATGTCGAAACTTAGAAATTTTTAGAATTTTTTTTTAAATACACACCCATTTTGAATTTGATGCCAGCAACATGTTCCAAAAAAGTTGGGACAGGGGCAACAAAAGGCTGATAATGTTGTGTAATGCTTAAAAAAAACCCTGAGTTGTTGATAGGCAACAGGTCAATAACATGATTTGGTATAAAAAGAACATCTCAGTGAGGCTGAACCTTTAGAAGTAAAGATGGGGAGGTGTTCACCACTCTGTGAAAGACTGCACAATCAAATGTGCAACAATTCAAGAATAATGCTTCTCAAAGTAAAATAGCAAAGAACTTTTGCTTTTCATCATCTACTGTACATAATAACATTAATAGATTCAGAGAATCTGGAGAAATCTCTGTATGCAAGGGACAAGGCCAAAAAACAGTATTTGCTGGCCATGATCTTTGGGCCTTCAGATGGTACTGTATTAAAAATGGACATGATTCTGTAGTGGAAATCACTGCATGAGCTCAGGAACACTTCTGAAAATCACTGTCTGTGAAAACAGTTCGGGGCTGCATCCACAAATGCTAATTAAAAATCTTAAATGTAAAGAAGAAACCACATATGAGCAGGACCCAGAAATGCCACTACCTTCTCTGTGCCTAAGCTCATTTAAAATGGACTGAGGTGAAGTGGAGAAGTATCCTGTGGTCCGACGAATCAACATTTGAAATTCTTTTTTGGAAATCATGGACACTGTGTCCTCTGGGCTAAAGACCACTCAGCTTGTTATCTGTGCACAGTTCAAAAGCCAGTATTCATGATGGTATGGGGGTGCATTAGTGCACATGGCATGGGTGAGGTGCACATCTGTGAAGGCACCATTAATGCTGAACAATATAAACATGTTTTGGCAACATATGCTGCCATCCAGACAACGTCTTTTTCAGGGAAGGTCTTGCTTATTTGAGCAAATCAATGTCAAACCACATTCTACATGTATTACAGCCACATTGCTTTGTATTAAAAGAGTCCGGGTGCTAAACCTGCCTGCCAACAGTCCAGATCTGTCACAACTGAAAATATTTGGCACATTATAAAATGAAAAATACGACCAAGGAGACCAAGGAGAAACTGAGCAAAAATGGGAAAATATTTCACTTTCAAAACTACAGCAGTTGGTCTGCTCAGTTCCCAAATGTTTACAGAGTGTTGTGAAAAGAAGAGGTGATGAAACCCAGTGGTAAACATCCCAACTTTTTTGGAATGTGTTGTTGGCATCAAATTCAAAATGGGCATAATTTTTTCAAAAAACAATAAAATCTCTCAGTTTCAACATTGGATTTGTTGTCTTTGCACTATTTTCAATTAAATACAGGATTTAAATAATTTGCATAGTATTGAATTTTGTTTTTATTTACATTTTTCACAGCATCCCAACTTTTTTGGAAATGGGGTTATACTTAAGTGTGCTTATTTTTTGCAAAGGTGTAAACAGTACTGTACAAATGTCAGAGAGCATTATTTATTTAATTAATTTCCAGTCAAAATGGCCATTAAAGACAAGATATTAATTTTTTAGAAGGTATTTCTGAGGAGGTTAGATATTAGATAATCCACTTGCATAAGGAAGGGAAAAGTCAAAGGAAAATAAGCTAAAAACTGGAGTTCCAAAAATTACTAAAAGATACAGAGAAAATAGGCCTACATTGCAAAAAAGCCATTCACAAATACTAAGAAAGAAAAGATATATTGAAAATGAGATGTAAATGTTTATATTAGTCACAAAAATCTGCGAATGGGGCAAATAAATTTACTGTAAGATTCATTGAAATAAATAACATCTAGTTCTGTAACCAAACCTCAACTGTGTCAACTGAAATATCATAAAACTAGTGAGAGAATGTAAATGTAGCATTTTAAATGTGATATAAGCATCAAAAAATTCTGTTTTCATGCACAGTAACTATATACAGAGACTCAGTATAAGTCTATTTCTCTCATCCAGTCTTTTTCTAAGACTATATTGTTGGCAATCTCAGACTTAAAATGTTACACTTCACATA